CCACCAATTTGGTAGCGTTGATTGGGACATCGAATTGTTTGTCGGATGAATATAAGTCTCTAATCCGGAGACTGAAGTTGAACCCTAACGCAAACATATATTCATAGCATAAAATTCATAAATAAAAGGTAGAGCATCACATAGCTTTTTCTTCAAAGCCAACACATCTCTCTTTTGTAGCCGAATTACTCTCCAGTTTGGTATATACTCAAATTTTCCAATGACTTCCTTCTCGAACCTGGAGCGTTTTTGCTTTGCCGGATATTTTTAGGATATGGCTCTTATGTATCTCTTGTGAGTCACTTGATATGTTGTTTAGGTAAAACTTTTGGTTTGAAAGAGAATGATCTACGACAAGCATAATCGGTTATTTGTTATATATGTGGCCATGTTCATATTGCTTTCTCCACAAGAAATTTTCCAGTTTTGTAGCATTCGATATTTAAATTTAAAAGCTTCAATACGTTGTATACATGTGTATGTATGTACATATATGAATTATTCTCAGTTGCACATAGTGGTTTCTAAGGGATAGATACTTGCTCTCTGTAACCCTCTCATTTTTAGTACCTATCTTCAGTGTTTACTTTGCTAAGAGCTTCTTGATAGGCATACATCTTTGCAATCTCAGATCAATATACTACAAATACATATAAGATACAGTTAAGAAAATGATATTTCTCTTACAACTTTTTATATGGGTTTTATAAACAAGAGATCAACTGAAGGGTTACGCAGCGACCAATGGCGAAGGTAGAGACAAAGATACTACAATAGGGACGATAAATATGACACGATATATACAAAGGAGATGCCTGTTTCTATACCATTGAAATTTTACGTACATAACTACTTCAAAGAGCAAGATGACTTACTTGATAGGTAAGAGATATGGTAAGAGATTATATTTTTCAATTATTTGTTTCCAACTACGAAAAACTCCAGTGACATACAATCTAAAAGCATGAATATGTCATAAAATCAAGAATACAACAAAAACCAGGAAGATGGGCCCAAATTAAAGTCCGAAACTGGACGTGGGGAACCCACGGACAGTGGCGGTCGGAGCGTTACAAATATGAAAGAAACGAGGAAGCGTGAATATGTCATAAAACCAAGAGTACTACAAAACCAAGAAGATGTGCTCAAAGAACGAAACTGGACGTGGGAACCCACAGACAGTGGCGGTCGTGGCATTACAAATATGAAAGAAACGAGTGAGCATGAATATGTCATAAAATCAAGAGTACGACAAAACAAAGAAGATGGGCCTAAAGACCGAAACTGGACGTGGGGAGCCCACGGACAGTGGCGGTCGGGGCGTT